TTTCTCCCTACACAGTACTATACCTAATAGCCTGAAATACAGGATTTGGTGCTATTCTTAGGGTTTTGTGACTGTAGACAGCATAACATAGAAACAAAGCTGTGCAGCTGAAGAGTATCAATGTGATCAGATGTCACCACAGGGCACCACCCAATGCCAGACTATTCCGTGGCTCTTTTACTAAGAGCAGTTTGATTAGTAAATTGGGCTTTCTTGGTCACAGCTAACTGAAACAGAATGGTGTTAGCCTACATGATCCGGCTGGGAACACGTAGGAATTCTTAATTCTATACTAGTCTCAAAAACAAAGGGCACCACTCTCTTCCCAGCCTTCCCACAACCAAGGCAAGGCGCTTGGCTTAGCAGGGCCTGTACTACTCAGTACAGGGACCAGAAACCTGGCCAAGCCTAAGTTTAATAAGACATCTGCACCTTATAGAATCCTTGGACAGGTTTCTTCTGCTTCAGATTTATTGTCTATGCTTAGCAGGATTGTGACAAGACATATTTATGAAAGCACTGCTCCTGAAAAACAGAATCTCGGGATTCAAAATTCTTAGCAAGGGCAGGCAGAGGTGCACACTTATAATCTAGCACTCAGTAGGTAGAAGCAGGGAGATTTCAAGTTTGAGGCAAGTCTAAGCTACATAGTGAGTTCAAAGCTAGCATGAGCTACATACACAGGGAGACCCTGTCTCAAAAACAAACAAACAAAAAGACAAATAATAAACAAAGCCAAACTATGCTGGGATGTAGCTCACTGGTAGAACATCAGCAACTCATAAAATTCCCATGGGTAGGGAAAAGAAAACAAAGACAGAATAACACTAAACTAAAACCCAAATAGCTAAAGAAAAAAAAAAAAAAAACAAAAAACAGCATCAACAAAAGTCAGTGACTTCTTCCTACCCTCATGGAGCAATCATGGCTTACCCTATAGAGGGAAACAGGGCAGAGAGAAAGCAAAGAAACCAGATGGTTCGCCAAAGGCCTGCTATGCTCAAACAGCAACACACCTAGGCAGCATCTGACTAGCTAAAGTTAACGGTGACTCTTCACATCTACTTCAGGTCCCAGACTCCCCAGTAAGAAGCAGAGCCCAGAGCAGGTGAGTGGACAGGTCTTCACTCAGAAGCACAGCCTGAAATTTTCAATCCTGATTCATAGACTAAACAAGTTTAATCTCACTGGACCTTGCCTTCCTTTTCCGAAGGCTGTGTTCAGTCATAAAACTGTCAGTCACTCTGAGAGCTAAGTGGCATAAGAGACTTGAGCAACCTGGCAACCTCTACTGAAAGGATTCAAAGGATGCTGCCTAGACAAGGGTCAGCTGAGCAGTTTTGCCTCTGAGAGGCCCTATGGTGAGGAAGAGTTCCTGTTACCTGTTACCACTCTACCTGCTGGGAAGTGCACTTTTGAAGGGCAACAAGAGGAACATGTCTGCCAGAAGACATGGTACCTTAGCACTAGCCATGCCTGTGCTGGCCAAAGAGCAAGTGAGAAAATATGACATACATAAGGGCATCTAAACGTGACAAACAGGCATTGTTCCTCTAGTGTCAAAGGAAAATTTAGACATACTTAGTACCACTGTACTCTACTGTGAAAGAAGTGCTCATGGAAGAGGGCCCATAACTCCAAATAAAGGAGCAAATAAAAAGGTGAGTGGCAGGCAGAGGAAGGTGCTGAATTCAGAAGCTTCTGGGGCAAGTCCCAAGCTGGTTGCATACCTCAAGTAATGCCCTCTAGAGGCACATAAGGATGACTGAAGGTGAGGCTTTGCAGGCTAAGCACAGCCGGTCCCCTGGCAGTGGACGCTCCATCTGTCACACACAGTGCTATGCAGAGACCAAAGACACTCAGTGTGTTACCCCAGGCAGAAGAAATTTTACTTGTATGGGGATAGTAATTGAGCTTGAATATTCCAGGTGGGGAAAAGATTTGCATACCAACCCTTCATAACAGAAAGTACTACCTTTAAAATAGCTCCAATTTGGGAACTTCTGCCTCTGCCAGATCCCACATAACAATACTTCCCAGAAATAAGAGGCCCATGAAGAATCAGGAACTCCCCTTCCACACTTTACCTCTGTCTTATGTAGTCACATGATGATTGAAAGCAGGGATTCTTAGATCTCTAGGGACTCAAGAGTGCTCAAAGGACTAGGCATTATATTCCAAGTGAGATCAAAATCATAACCTCCCAACTTCTATTATTATTAATAAGCATAACAAAGACCAAAATTGTCTTAAGGAGATCACAATGTTTTAAATTTACCACACAAAGTAATTAAGCTGTCTTTGGTAGGGTGAAAAAAATGTTAAAGAACATATCACTAAAATATATCTTTTAAAACAAACAAACAAAGCCAGGCATGGTGGCCACCAACCTGGTCTACAGAGCTAGTTGCAAGGCAGCTAGAGAAAGCCTGTCTCAAAACAATAAAAACAAACAAAAAATTGTAAAACAAATTTAATCTGAAAAATGTTTAAATATGCAAAAGAAATTAACAAGCAATCTGTGATGGTTTGAATAAAAATGGCCCCCACAGGCTCATAGGGAGTGGCACTACTAGGAAGTGTGGCCTTGTTGGCAGAAGTGTGTCACTGGGGCTGAGTTCTGAGGTTTCAAATGTTCAAGCCAGTCTCATGTCTGCCTGCCAATCCAGATGTAGAACTCTCAGCTTCCTCTCCAGCACCATGTCTGCCTGTACATCTCCATTCTTCCCGCCATGGCAATAATGGACTAAACCTCTGAACTATAAGCCAGCCTTAATTAAATGTTGGCCTTTATAAGAGTTGCTGTGGTCATGGTGTCTTTTCACAGCAAAGAAAAACCTAACCAAGACACTCCCATACTCCTTGCAATAATTCTTAAAGTTTTAAAAAGCCATTCAAAATTCTGGGTGTATTATATAGCTCAGTGGTAGATCACTTAACTAGTATGTACAAAGCCCTGGGTTTGATGCCCAGCACCACAAAAATAAGCAAATAAACACCAGTAAGAAGCAGAGACACCACCTTACACAACCACAACACTAGCAGCACACAAAACAAAATGAGTATTAGTACTTCAGACACCTTAAGAATCAGACTTCAGTCATCTAATGTGAGTTCTAATGACATTTGCAATCAAACTCCCACAGATACCTGGTTATTATGTTGTGTAGGGTCTCTCTATATACAGCATCCTGTCTTTTCTACTACTTCATTTCCCCCACACCAAGGGCTTATTGTAGAAATTATGTCAGTTGTCTTGAGCTTTGTCCCACATTTGAACTTTTGTTTTTCTTTATGGGGGCATTAAGCCTGTAATTCCTCTATACTCTGTATTTTCTAGGACTAGAGACTACATTCAGACTGGATTGACTTTAGGTTCAATTTTCTAGTGAGGGTACTTAGGGACTTGGGCTGTGTCACTCCAGCAGCACACCAACACTGACCTGTGAGATAAAAGGCTCTTGGTTAGCATCAGAAAATACCTTTCTTTCTGTTGAAACTAGACCTACTACCTAAGTTCACTTTGAGTAGCTCTTAGTATAATGCATAACTGGGATGGCTAATCTTCACTGTCAACCTGACTGGATTAGACTCACCATGGAGATAAACTTCTCTGTATGTCTCTGTAGCTGCTTCCAGGAAGCTTTAACTGAGGAGGGAAAACTTGAATGTGGGTAACATCATCCAATGGGCAACAGTCCAAACTGAATAAAAAAGACAAAGTAGGGCTAGCGTGATGGCCTGATGACTGGGGTTCAATCCCAAAACCCACAAGCCATCTTCTTATCATCATCTCTTCCTGACTATGGATGCAACACACTCTTGCTGCCACGAGGGACTGCAAGCCTGGGAATATAAGCCAAAGTAAACCCTTCTTTCCTTCCTTAAGTTACTTTTGCCAGCAATGGGAAAAGAAACCCAAATAAGCTTAGCATTAAAGCTCAATCTATTGACCTATTTAATTATACAACTACCTAAAAGTTACCTAGCTACTCAGTGAGCAACTACTAAAGACACTGAGCCAGGACCTCCAATGATCTTCATCAAATTTGTAGAATAGCAAGGCTACTGAACAGATGGCAGAAGAGTCAACAAGCTGAGGCAGCACACCATGATCAACAAATTCGACAAATGCATAGGTGGGCAAAAAGAAGGATGAGCATCGAAGAAGTAATAGTATAAGTTCCCTGGGGGTAGTGATTTTTATCTGTTCTATTCCCTGCCATATCTATCTTTCAAGTCTAAAACTTAGCCAAGCACAGAAGTAGTTAATTAGTATCTGCCTAATACATGGGTGAGTCAGGACTTTGTGACCAATGTCTGTGTGTCTGAACAAATGCACTCTTCCTTTCCCAGTGTTTGTGGAAGCAGGGCTTGACCTGTAGAGTGAGAGGTTACTCGTTGAGACAGACTACACAAGGCTAGGACCCCCAAAGTGAAGCAAAGGCTTGGAAAACATGGAGGTGGCTGAGGCCTAATATTTTGAACTTGCTTCACATAGGGACTTCTGATAATGGACAGCACTTAGACAAGAAGCACTTTGAGGAAACATGTGATGACAGATGCTTTGAAAACAAGCAAGACTTGGGGTTAGAAAAACCACTTAGGAGCAATGATGATGGGGAATGGCTTTATCAGAAGAAATAAAAAAGTGGAATGTCTGAGGCATTAAAAATATTTAGAAACCAACAGGCTAGAGAGCATCAACAGGATAGAGTCAGAAGGGAAAGCTGAAGATCACACTCACATTTGTTATCAGTCATAGAGCATGTCAGCGTTTTCACTTCTCCCTGAACTCTAAGGGTTTAGTCCCCTCCTACCATCTTTATGTGAAGAGACCTCTTCAGACCTCTAGTGTAAAACTGTACCAGAGAAGTTAAGATGTGCCTCAAAGTCATGGAAGAAGGTGCCACTGGATCTGACTGAACTAGAGATCTTGTTGGAGTATCCATGCAAAATCTTCCTCCCACTTCACATGGTAAGAGACGGCTTCCACTCACCTTCCCAAAGAGGGCAAGCATGCAGCACAGGGGCTTGCCTCTCTGGTGGAGTAGCATATATTCTTTCTGTAGATGAGAAAGATCAAGGAGAGTGAAGAAGGCATCTGACCTATGACCTGTTCCCCAGTGTGGACTTAAGAGGAAACACACACAGCAGTGGCAGTTTGCTGGTGACAGGAGCCACACAAAAAGCTTCTAGTTTGAAGTATAACAGGGATGTATTTCTTGAAGCCCAGAGCATGTTCTTCTAAGGATCTGTACTCATGAAGTAAGCTAAGAACTGTATATTCTTAAAACTCACAAAGGTGTTCAGGCAACACTCCTGCCTAAACGGGTCTCCTAGGAAGAAGCAAAAATTAGCCTAAGGGAACCAGGCACAGCAGAACAAGCTTGTACATTTGGATTTGAAACTGGCAGCCACCTCTAGCTCCCTGTGGTAGTTTGAATAAGAACAGCCCCCATTAGCTCTTATATTCGAATGCTTAGTCACTAGGGAGTGGCACTATATGAAAGAATTAGGAGGTGTGGCCTTGTTGGAGAAAGTGTGTCACTGAGAGGTGGGCTTTGAGGATTCAAAAGCCCATACCAAGCCCAAGGTCGGTCTCTCGGTCTCTCGGTCTCTCGGTCTCTCGGTCTCTCGGTCTCTCGGTCTCTCGGTCTCTCGGTCTCTCGGTCTCTCGGTCTCTCGGTCTCTCGGTCTCTCGGTCTCTCGGTCTCTCGGTCTCTCGGTCTCTCGGTCTCTCGGTCTCTCGGTCTCTCTCTCTCTCTCTCTCTCTCGGTCTCTCTCTCTCTCTCTCTTTGCAGATCAGATATATCTCTCAACTACCTCACTAGCACCATACCTGTCATGCCATGCTTTTTGCCATGATGATAATGGACTAAACCTCTGAAACTAAGCAAGCCCTCAAATAAATGCTTTCTTTTATAAGAGTTAACAAAGTGTCTTTTCTTGGTAATAAAACAGTGACTAAGATACTTGCCTAAACATTTGAAATAAAATAGTTCTACATTTGGAAATGATGAAAAAGAAAAGGCAACAGATCCCTTAACAATTTCTTCTTTTGATTTGAAAAGGCTCTCTTATAGTGCATCTGACTTTTTTTCCTGGAGTTACTTTGCTCAATGTTCCTAGGATTAGACCCCATTTAATTTATTTAATGGAGACCGCCAGTCAGCCATATTTCTCTTCAAATGAAAACACAGAGGTGACAGAGGCATAATCTCTGGGGACAAGGAGCCTGAACTGTACTGCTAATAGGAACTCAGTTGTGGCTGGAAGGCCAGGAAGAGGCCCACTGATGACAGTGAGACCCTTCTAATTTTGGATACCAGAACTGTGCCCATTGGCCGTGTTGTTCTAGAGAAACAGAGCCCTTCCATCTGAGGATTTTCTAGTGAAAAGGCCAGGTACCCAGGATCCCTGGACAGCCAGGCAAGAAGAGCTGCTTGCCCCTACAAATGGGCTCCTAAGGGAATTTCATTAACTGATTTAGAACAGAGAAGATGGCAAAGGATGACTGACTATATGGGAATCCTCCAATTCGAGAAAACAACCAAAGCCAAAAGAACAGAGGCATGCAGAGAAAAGACAAACATTCCAAATCTGGTGACAAGGGAATGCACTTATCCATGAAACAAAAACAAAATGGCATATAGAAATAAGGAAGAATAAAAATGTTAAGAGCTAAATTGAAGATTTTTAACAGAAAGGTTAGAAAATAAATCCAAGGTCTCCTCCAAAGTACAGCCAGGACACAGAAAAATCAGAGACAAGAATAATCTAAAGCCTAACCAATGACGCCATGAAACTAGAAGGGGGAGGAATGTCCATACAACTATAAGAAGCAGGGGAAGAGATGTCCACATAACTACAGAGAAGAGGGGAAGATGCCCATGCAACTACAAAGGGGGTAGGGGAGCTGCCCATGTAACTACAGAAAAGAATGGGGTAAGTACAAAAGGATGAGTAGAGGTAATTTCCAGAGCTGCCAGAAGGCTATGAAATGTCTACGGAATATAAACACTCAACTCCCACTTATGAGACTGTAGACTCCAAGGTTAAGGAGCTTCTAAAACATCCTGCATGGGAGACAAAGAAAATAGGTCCTTGTAAAGGACAGAAATAAGCACTGACAAGTACCACAACACAAGAGTAAAACCTTCAAACCTCGGAGATAGATTTCCAGTCCCATTCTAACCCTCACCTGCAGAGAGAGCTACTTTCAGCCCTGCACTCTTTTCTGGACATGAGGCTTAGGATGGGCAGGTTAAGAGGTTGTGTGGTTAATTTTGTCAGCTTGACAACTACAATCACCTGGGAAGAGTGTCAGTGTTAGGCTGGCATGAGGGCATATCTTTATGTACTAATCAAGGTGCCCAGACTCAACCTTGGTGAAGGGGTCCTGTACTGTATAAGTATAGGGAGGGAGCTGAGTCTAGGCCCACAGGCATTCATGTTCTCTCTGTTCTTGACTGTGAATGTGACTACCTTCTTCAAGTTCCTTCAAGTTCCACATCTGTAACTTCGGAACTGTAAGCTAAATAAGTCCTTTCTTTCCCAAGTTACTGTTTGTCAGGACATCTTATCATGGCAACAGAAATTAACCCAAGACAAAGAGCAAGATATGGGTAAGCTGGGTGTGAGCAACCAGCAGGGAGTCCCAGTGAGGCGAGTGGTGGGGAGATCCTCTGGGCAATCACATCTATCGGACAGAGCAACCCACAAAGAGTAGCAAGGGGCTACAACACCTACAGGTGCAGAGGGTAAGTCACAGAAGCCCGTTTCCATCAGAAAACAACGAAATTGCAGAAATATTCTAGAACAATATTTGACTTAGCAGGGGGTACAGTTTACATAGTTGCGAAAATATAAGTACCAGATAATAACATCAGTAACTTACTTGAGATATAAAAAAGGCCCAAATCCTATCTACCAAGAGAAATGTCAATGGGTGGACTTGCACTCAGGCTTCTGTAAAGACTCCTGGCTTTACACTCAATCTTTCCCTCCCCAGCCAGCCCACAGTGCACAGCACCACACCATGCACCTCTACTCCTTTTTCCTTGTGGGCAATGATATGGTTGTAGAGCCCAGTAAGACCCCAGCATCTATCTTGTGGATCAGTAGCTGACCTCACACTAACACCCTGGCCCTGAGAAATACATTGTCAGTGAATAACCACTGTGCTCAAGGCTCAGTGATCAGCTTTGTGCAGGTACCAGCGGATGAGGAAGATACTCAGGAGCTATAGGATACAACAAGGAAGCAGGCCCTGAGCAAGCTCCCCTTACCTTCCTTCTCCACTGTGGCAGAATCTCATATCCTGGCTATTTTGTGCTGTAAATAGGGATGGATTTTTTGGTCTTTATCACAGAACTGAGTGGGAGAGATGAGTAACAGCAAGAAGCAGCTATGCTTGTGCTGAGAGGCAAGGGCAGGAAGGCTGGGAATGCAGGCCTCCCCAGTCCCCAGCATATCCTCTCACCCCTACTCCCTGGAGGCTCTGGGAATTTCCTGCTACTTTTTAGGGTACCGGGAGATGCACTTCAGCAATGGAAGAAATTATTCCACATCGAGAATAAAATTTATAAGGCAAATTTGAAAAACAGGGGGGGTGTCAATATAAGATTGTATATGAAAATACTAAGGTACAAGAACTGAAGATTCTATAGGAAGTAAGCCAGAAAGTTGGGGCGGCAACGGGTGTGAGAAAAATTCTGTTTTTCATTGTGAGCTATTCCATGCAGTTTAACATTTCCACACCTATGGGTGATATTAACTTGATAAAAAAAAAAATAACAGCAAACATTCAAAAAGCCCATTCTATGAGCTGGCCACTGCTACAGATGCTATACAGGTGACCCCCTTCACCCTCACCCAGGCAGGGCAGCCCCTTACTGGTCCCCATTTAAAGATGAGAAAATGTGAACTGGGAGAAGATAAGTGATTGCCAACACCACTTGGACCAGGACTTAGCCTGTGTGAACCACAAAGTCTGGAGAGTTTAACTTTGAAGGTAGCCAGGGAAGGATAATCTCACAAATTATTATGTAGAAAGTTGTCGGATTTCACCTATGAATAAACCCAGACAGTCAAAACCGACATGAGTAAATAGCAAGCATTTATTTTCTCATCTCTAAAATCCTATACTTTTCTATCAACAACACAAAAACACTGCCTAAACAGCAAGAACAGCAGAAAAGAAAAAGTTGAGAAAAAAATTGCAGTCACACAAACTGTAGTTAAAAAATGACTAAGTTTCCTTGATATATGAATTTGTTGGAAAACCATTTATCAACAGCCTGTTTCTCTCTAGCAAGAGTCCCTCAAGCCGAGAGCCATGTCATTCCCCTTTGACTGATTAATTAGCCAATCAGGGGACATTTTTCATTGTGAGGCATGATGGTTTATTGCAGCTAATGTTTGGTCTCTAATGGCGACATATTAAAGCCAACTCGGCTATTTTAGCCCCGTGGAGTGACCAAAAGGAAAGGATAGGAGATAAATCAAGAGTGCCCTTCAGTTTCCCTTCAGTCCTTAACAAAACCCCCAAGGAGCAAATGGCTAGAAGTGAGCCTCTACCAACAAAGAGAAAAACATATAAAAGAAAGGCGTAACTGCCTTCAACCCAAGGTAGACCTTTCTGTTTCTGAGAAGCAGTAATTTATCCTTTGTGATTAACAGAACGGATACCTAAAAGTCAATAGCTTGATCTTCCTTTTACCACAGGCTGGGCTCGATAGGAAAAACGGCTCTGCAATGTTTCTTGCTCACTGCAATGATTTCTCCTGTGCTCTGGATTCAGAGCTAGGAAGTACCCCCAAGGTCAATTCTACCCATCACATCCTACTCCTGCCATACAAACCCTGAGCCACAAGGTCCAAGGGTCTCCTCCATCCTTAGGCCCTTGGCAGGCAATAACACACAAGGAAGCAGAAGTTCAAATGCAAAGGATCCAGCTGTTCATATCCAGAAGACAACATGCTTAATACAATGATGGATGAAGGAAGCAGCAGGCTATGCAAGTCCACACACAAGCATGGAAAACTACCCACTTGGCTTCCCA